TAGATAGATAGATAGATAGATAGATAGATAGATAGATAGATAGATAGATAGATAGATAGATAGATAGATAGATAGATAGATAGATAGATAGATAGATAGAGATATAGATGTAGATAGATAGATGTGTGTGTGTGTGTGTTTTCATCAAATTTGCTTTTGAACTAGTGTTGGACAAATGGTATGTGCTTTAAAACGACACATAATTGCACTTTGTTCACTGCCTTCCATTTGTGTTTTTCTGCAGTTACAAGTTCACTCTGGATGAGTTGTATCCTCTGTTGGAATCAGTGAAGCTGCGTGCAGAATCTTATAAAAACTGGCTTTGTGCTGTTCAGGACATCGTGGAGAACAATGCGACCAAGAAAAGAGGTGCAGGTCATTTCTGCACAGTTTAAGATTTACTTCCCCTTTCACTTAGTGACACACTACAACCTTCATGTTTTATTATTGAATGTGTTTCTAAGGCCGAGTTCTGTTGTCTGATCAGGTCTGGACGAGCTTCATGGCTTGGTAGAACAAGCAGAAACAAAGATGTTCCCTCAAACAAGCCTCGTGGATCAGCTGCGTGCTCTCATCTCTGAGGCTGATAAAGTTGCTGTGACGGCGCAGCAGCTTCTAAATGGGAAGAGACAGACGAGGTACTAAAAATACGCTAAAGATTCAGCTGGATCACAGTTAAACCATAACACTGCAACAAAATTGTCTTTAAAAATGTGATCAGTTGTATCAGTTCTATTTTTATTTTATTTTGTTGTTGGTTAGATTCAATGCTACATTATGTGATGGTGGGTTATTATTTTATTTCAGATTGCGTTTTCCTGTTGGCTTCTCCTGTTTAGTTAATAATTACTAAAGCCATAACTTGATCGAGACATATTGGTTTAGGTGATTTTTTTTAAGTTCTAGTTGTGATGAATTAATCTTGTTCGCTTCCCTGTTATGTTAACCAGTTTTAATTTTGCTTCAGGTACCGCTCTGGAGGAGGAAAGTCCCAAAACCAGAATGAGTTGACTGTGGAGGAGCTGAGGTCTTTTGTCCAGCAGCTGGACACTTTGCCGTGTAACATCCGGCAGGCTCCTTTACTGAAAGTAATACACTGAGTTTATTATGAATCTTAAAATATTTTATGAAAAGTTTTAAGCATCACTTTTCACCTTCCCTTTTGTAAAAACTTCCCGTGATTTGTAACCAGTGTATAAATATATTTTATGTTTGATCACATATGAACAGATTGTGTTTATATGAAATGATACACTTCTTCTTGTGACCTCCAGGACTTGCTGACCCGGGTGGATGACTTCCAGCAGCACAGCGACCGTCTCCTTTCCGATGAGTCGCCCAGCCCGCAGGAGCTGCAGGACTTGCTGGATGTGAGTCTGGGCCTGGACGTGGAGCTGCCCCAGCTGCCTCTGCTGAGGGAGAGACTGGAGCAGGCTCGATGGCTGGAGGCCGTTGAGCAGGCCAGCAGCAGGCCTGACAGTCTTTGTCTGGACACCATGAGGAGGCTGATAGACCAGGGTGTGGGACTGGCTCCCCACAGTTCTGTAGAGAGGGCCATGGCTCGTCTGCAGGAGCTGCTGACGGTGTCGGAGCAGTGGGAGGAACGGGTGCTCAGTCTCATGGATGCCAGGTAAAAAGCCCATTTGTGTTGCTTTATCCTATACCACTATATCCTATGTTCCTAAACCACTTATCTTTTGAGTAGCCTCCAGCTGTGATGTGGTCAAACTGGAAACACAGAACTGAAAAAATGAGCTATTTAATATTAGCCTTTTTTCCCCTTCAAATTATTGATCTTAATTTGGATGTTGCCTGCAATAATATGGAAGATTAGTTTTACAATTTTACAACAAGATTCTAGTTCTCTTGAAGTTTAGTTAACTACATCCAGTAATGGTTTATCAATCATGTGCATACAAGTCAAACTTTTATTCAATATGTTTTTGTCTTTGAAAAACATTTCTTCTATAAACACTTTGAAAAGACACTGAAACTGTTTTTTGCATTAGTACCATTTGTGAACTTGCTATGACGGAGAGTTTTTTTCCATTATGGGCAAGTGTTTTTTGAAATTATTGGTTATTCCTTCATTCATTGTCATGTCTCTTCACAGACCTTATCACAGCATCGATACGTTTGATGCTGCTCTACAAGAAGTAGAAAACATCCCTGCTTATCTGCCCAACTGTCTGCAGCTCAAGGATGTTGTCACTAAGGCCAAGAAATGGCTTCATGAAGCAGAAATGCTTCAGGTAAAATAGCTTTTAGCATCTGACTCGGGTCAGTTTGACTTTGAACTATAAATTAAAATCCTTACACTTGTTTGCAGTTGGGAGGGCGTATTCCTGTACTCGACGGTCTCTCTGAGCTGGTTCTCAGAGCAGAGAGTATCCCTGTGAGACTCGAGCCTCTGAGCCGACTAGAAGCCCTCGTCAGTGACGTTCAGAGCTGGAAGGAGAGCGCAGCTAAAACATTCCTACTGAAAAGTTTCCCCCTTTCTCTCCTGGAGGTGAACAGAGAGTTTATTATTTAAATGGGACTGGATTAAAACCTCTAGTCTAAATGTGGCCTTAAATAACTGATGTTCTCTTCTTCTATTTTAAGGTCCTCTGCCCAAGATGTGAAGCAGGATCTGCGCATCAGAAGTGCCGGTCTAAGAAAGTGAAAGAAGCTCCACAGCTCGGTAAAAAAGCTTCCACAAAACTGGAGTCTGTGTGTGATGTGGAGAGAGCGCTCTCTGAGAGCAAGGACTCTGCCTCGGCTGTAAGTTGAACTACATTAATCGTTTATTTTTCTTTAAGCTTTCATACAGCACACATCGAGGGTGGAGATGCAGCCAGTTGTGAATGGTACACTGTTTAAACTTTGGTCTCTAAACATTCTGGTTGGTTTGATTAAATAAAAAATAAAAAAACTCAATAAAGGCTGTCCTAACAGAGCAGTTTAAAAATGTACCCAAAACTCTGCTCAGTTAAATGCATACATTGACACTTAAACTCCGCAAAGCAGCAGCACAATGTTTGGCAGTATAAATGAACCTTAAGTATAGCCACACTCATTGAGAATCTTGAACCACACAATCTTTGAGAATAAAATAGGTTAAAGATGCATCATCTTCAACTTGATAGTACAAATAGGCTAAAGCCAACTTACTGGAGATGCTGCTGCGTTACCGTTTAGAAACAATAAGTCCTATTGCAACAAATGTTATCCGTTATCTCAGATTAACTCTTTAATTTTGTAAAAACTCTTTAAAAGTTGTATAATTGTCATAAATAAATGTTGTGTCAACAGTTTTTATATTTATCTGATTTAATCTCTCCACAGATGACCGCTCTTTCTGAGGTTCGGCAGCGGGAGATGGAGATCTTGTTGTCTCTCAGGGCTTCTAACGAGTCCAAACTTTTACCTGCTGAAAACTCTTGTGCACTTAGTGTCTGTGTTTGCCAGAAGGCCCCTTCAGGTGCCATGGTTCAGTGCGAGCTCTGTCGAGACATTTTTCACCGCGACTGCGTCACAACAACTGCAGAACTCGAGCACGGTCAAGCTTGGCTTTGCCCGCTTTGCCAGCGTTCACGGAAACCTCCTCTGGATAAAGTCCTGCCATTGCTGGCCTCGCTGCAGAGAATTCGAGTTCGCCTGCCAGAAGGGGACGCCCTGCGTTTCCTCATTGAGAGGACGGTGCGATGGCAGCACAGGGTTCAACAGGCCTGCACAGATGGAGTTCTAGAGAGGGTGTCAGCAGTCGTAAGTTGAAAGTGCATGACTGCGTACAATTGACGAGCTCATTATGTTTCACTCAAGAATATAATTCATTTTCATGTTTCAGGGGAGAGTTGGGCTCAAAATGTCTCCATATCAGACTCAGGAAATAAACGGTTCATTATTTTACACGGAGCGCCAGTCGATTCCACTCCAAGGTCTGGATTAAAACATTTGTTATGAGAACTTTTTTAATTCCACTGTAAGCCACTACAACCCCCACCCCCCCTCTTCTTTTTTTCATATTTGTCACAGGACTCGGTCCTGAGCTGGAGGAGCTCATGGTGGAGGGATTCCTGCTGCAGGTCACACTGCCCGAGACAGAGAAGCTGTACAGATACCTGCTAGACGAACTAGTCGCGCTGCCATCGCACAGCCCCTCATATGAAAACGACACAGAACCATCTCCGAGAGGGAGTCCCCACCACAAGGTAAATGACAAAACCGTTTATTGCCTCAAAGTCTGTTTATTTTATTTACTTGGCCTTTAAAAGATTTTGCATAACAAGTAAACATAATAAAGTGGATCTTAAAGCATGTCTCTAATAACACTTGTCTGTAGAATGGAGATTCCGGTCTGAAGAAGCAGGCATTGAATGGACAAAACAAAAGAACTAAACGGCGTAAGGACAGCTCTGATTCTCAGCATGGCGAGAAAGCCAAGAAGTCTCGCAAGAAGAAGCTCAAGAAAAACAAGGAAAGAAGCGAAGAGTCCAAGAGGACATGTTCTCCCTCACACACAGTATCTGACCCAGCTCTGTCAGATTCAGAGGAGGACTACTCATTGTGTGCTGCACCGTGGTGCAGAGAGCCTGAGGGCGACGAGGTATGTTTTTTTTTTCAACCTGTAGACGTTAGGTTACCGGTACTTGCGTGATCCCAGTTCTCAAAGTAGCATGAGTGAGATGTCTCATTATGCCACATTTGTCAAACTCAAGGCCCAGGGGCCAAATGTGGCCCTCGTTGACATCTTATCTGGCCCCCAAGAGGATATGTTAAATGTAAAATACTTTTATCACTTGAATTTTTTCAGTAATTTTTGATTATGATGTAGAAAGTGCAGCAGGGAACAAAAAATGAGACCAATCAAACTCTTGTTGAGGAACCTGCAACCAAGAAAAGATGTCAGGTACCTAACTTGAGTTAATGTAGTTTCTGAAATCGGCCCTTAGTTTGAAAAAGGTTTAAATTTCGACTTTTTAAAGTGACTTTGACACCCCTGCATTATGTGATACGCCTCGCCTGCATATTCCTCAGAAGCTCATCTCGTTAAATAAATCCTGATTGGCTGGTAATCTTGATGCCTGCATCACTTGCCCATTAAGTAACTTGCTCTACGCTGCAACATAATTTGAAATAGGCACCTCTTCTCACTTCTCCCTAGAAAGAAGGGTTGTCTGGTGAGACATTTTACTCATGCTATTCTGAGAAGCAGTGTTATGCAATTAACCTAAAGTTTTCATTTATAGCATTCGTTTTGAGGTCTCACTTTGGGATATGGAGACTCCCGTATTGCAAGACAGCTCATCTCTAGCAACCGCCTGCACTTAAACGTGCTTGCCCTGTTCCAGCAAAGAACCAGCAAGACAGTACAAGCCACACTTGAGACGAAGACGTCCAACTTATAAAATCCAGCAAAAGTGTGTGGTGAAGACCAACTTGCTGCTGCACATATGTCCTGAATAGAGACTCATTTAAAAATGCTCAGGATGCAGCCAGGCCACAAATGGAGGAAGCATGCTGGCCCACAGGTGCCTGAAGGCCCTGGGTTGTATAGAACAAGACAGTCCCTCCCACAATACAGTAGGAGAGACCCTGCTTTGTGATGGGCTTGCCCATTTGAGGTTTTGCCCAAGACATAAAGAGCTTATGGCTTCTCGGAAAGCTGCTAATCTTGTCCAAGTAGGCATGCAGGACCTGGACTGGACAGAGCTTAATTAACCACTGTTCCTCAGGTGAAACGCTGGTGAAGATTCTCAGTCATCCAGGACATGGTAGATTCAAACAAGTTCAAGACAAAAACAACTGCACTTTATTTGTAACAGAAGACGTTTCGCTTCTCATCCGAGAAACTTTCTCAATTCAAAGAATAGGGAGTGTGGGGTTCAGGTTATAAAGCTGAGGTAAGATGGATAGATATATACGCAGATTGACCTATCACACCTCACTACATACATATGCAGATTGACCTATCACACCTCACTACATACATACGCAGATTGACCTATCACACCTCACAGTAGAGGTTTGTTAAGGTCTTTGTTAATCTAATTCACAGATGGGCCACATTCCTGCTAGGTGTGAAACTGGCTGGGTATCAGTCTTAAAGCTGCATTATAAGTTTTTGAAAGTTGAAATCTGAGACCTCCTCTGTTTAAACACCCATACAAAAATCCTGATGCATGCTCAGTAATCCAGGTAGAAAAATCTAAAAAAGTTAAGTCTGGTCCTCTGGACATTCAAAAAATAAAACAAAACCAACCAAACAAACAAAAAAGTAAAAACGTTTAGTCTTTCCTCCGAAAAACTTCTTCAGTCTGAGGTGCTGTATTCAGCTCAGTCTTATAAATAGCACCTTTTCATAGTGGATCAACCAGTTTGTTGCTGACAGCCAAAACCAGCTGCTCACATGATCAAAGAGGACCATCCTAACAAAGGATCGTTAGCACCCTGATGGCTGTTTGCTATTCACAGGAGGCTGAGTGATACTAGCAATAACAGCATTGTAAGAGGGGGACAGTTGAACATGGAGGCCTCCACCCCTGTTTAATGATGGACAATTTTTTTTTCACAAAGATGGCCTCCTTTACTCCTCTCTCAAACCAGTGATCCTCTCTATCCAGGATGTGAACATCTTCATGCCTGAAAGAGTGACCGCTGGCCTGGAGATGAGTGTAGACCGCAGAGTCCTGACCTGATGATGTTGATCTTCTGTGCTGGGCCATCCTTTTGGCCAGTGGCTGTTTAGTTTCCACAATGTAAGACTGATCACAGCCCTCCTGACATTGAACAGTATATACAATATTAAGATTCAGTCCCCCCAGCACAAACAGAGTAATACTGTGTATGCTGTTCAGTGCAACGAGGAATGTTCAGATCTCTATATTGGAGAAGCCAAACAGTTACTTCACAGACGCATGGCTCAACACAGGAGAGCCACCTCCTCAGGACAAGACTCAGCTGTTCACTTGTTCTGGATGCATGTAAACCCAAAATGCGACCGTGTCAACGCAAATCTTTTCCTCTAATTAACATATGAAAAAACCTACGTTTCCCCCATCGTGTCCGTGTAAATAGGGCCTGATACCCACCCAGCTTCACACCTATCAGAAATGTGGCCTATTTGTGAATTAGATTAACAAAGACCTTAACAAACCCCTACTGTGAGGTGTGATGGGGCAATCTGCATATGTATGCATGTATGCACGTACGTATGTATGTATGTATGCACGTACGTATGTATGTATGTATGTATGCACGTACGTATGTATGCACGTACGTATGTATGCACGTACGTATGTATGTATGTATGTATGTATGTACGTACGTACGTACGTACGTACGTACGTATGTACGTATGTACGTATGTATGTATGTATGTATGTATGTATGTATGTATGAATGTATGAATGTATGAATGTATGAATGTATGAATGTATGAATGTATGAATGTATGAATGTATGAATGTATGTATGTATGTATGTATGTATGAATGAATGAATGAATGAATGAATGAATGAATGAATGAATGAATGATAAAAGTCCATTTTGGGTGCTCAGGTTTGTTTACGTTCATCCCGGAAGTAAACCGGAAGTAGAACTTCTTCTTCTGTGGTTTTTAAGGAGAGTTTACCACTCTGCGCATGTCAGTACTTCTGTTCAGAACAAAGCCCGCATGCAACGCTCGTCATGAACAGATTGTGCCCATGTAAACAATACATTTGAATTAATTAATCTGAAAACATTTCAATCTGGTCAAAAAAATTTCTGCATGTGAACATAGCTACTGTTGACCTTATGTTGATTTGCATATGACAAACCAAGCCTGAACTTACAGGTACTAATGGGGGAGGCTCTAGTACTCTGAATGGTATTTATTACATTCTGAGGAAGTCCTGCTTTGTCAAAAATATACCACTCACGGGCCAGCTCCATGACTTGAAGTGATCTGGGTGTGGGTAAAACTTTCCCAAGATGGATCTCCAGACAGCGGCACGCCAATGAGCAGCATATCTGCTCCGTGGTTCAGAGCTCCAGAGACGTGGGTGGCTCTGAGTGACAGGAGGTGCCTGCTGTCCCATGTAGTTTGCCTGCCAGAATGTGCAACAGAAGGGAATATAGCCCCCCCCACCCCGACAATTGATATAAACTACTGTAGTTGTGTTGTCTGTCCTCACAAGGACGTGATGTCCACTGAGGAACAGGAAGGAGGAAGTGCTTCATTGTGAGAAATGCTGTTGAGCTTCAGATAATTTATGTTGCATCGCTGAAGGTCCTCACTCCAAAGACCTCTCACAGGTTGGGGAGGAATTCACGAGGGTGGGTGACAGACTTACATCTGTCGTGACCACTTTCTTTGACAGAATGTGGCCTAAAAGCACCCCCTGCACCAGGAAAGCCAAGTGAAAAGTGTCCTTCAGGAGTGGGTCCGTAATCAACCTGTTGATTGCTCTCTTTTTTTTGTTTTTATCTGTGCCTTGACCTTCGGTCTAGAAACAACATTGAAACATGTTTTTTTTTTAGGTTTTTTTTTATGAACATAGGTGTGTGCTTGTGTGACTCGTAGGTGGGAAAGAGCCATCTGTCCTAACAGTCAAGTTTTCTCCTCCTCTGGCTGGAGAAACATGCAACGGCAGGGAGTTGGAGTGACACACAGTTTGGCTAGGTGTGAAAACTGGTAAACGGGGAACATCCAGTTCAGGCCTTTCAGGCTGCCCTCTTCATCTTCTTCTTCTTGGTTTGATGACTGAGAACATGGGCAGGGCAGTTTGTCTGGCAGGAGCAGCTGCTGGCAGTGTCGGAGTCTTTCTGGGTCAACCTGGTCTCGCCTCCTGCCCGGGCAGGGTGCCTGAGGTTAGGAGATCTTTAAATGAGGCTGTGACGCTTATTGTGTAAAGGTCTGCCATGGGGCCACCTGAAGAGGAGGTTCCATTTTCCTACGTGGAGCGCCTCATCCTTTTTTCCAAGCGTCAGATTGCATGGAAGCTAAAGCGGAGTCGAAAATGCTCTCGGGCATGATCAGAATGTCCAGGATGTCTTCTTTTCAACGTAGCTCTTTTTTATGCAACATCATCCCCAATGTATGTCCTGGGCCTCGCAGCACTGTATGCACAGGCAGATGTCCATGATCACTGTGATCTCCCACACTTCAGGGCTTGGTGGCCACACAACTCGGCTTGTTGTGCTAAGAAAATGTGAAGGAAACATTAAGTGTTTCAACAGCAACAGCTGCGACTCAGCAGGCACTCTCAGTCAAGGTGGACTGGAAGTAGTCAGCCTTTGATGGCAACGTGGGAATTCTGAAAGACATCAGCAGCCATGGGTGCAGGGGTGCAACCAGCAGCTCCATTGGGGTCATGCGGTGGATGCCAAGTTTCTCCATACCCTCAAAGTCCAGAGAGGAATCTCCATGTAGCTGAGTCTTCCTACACTTTCATCCCACTCATGTTGTTGGTGCCGGATAACAGCCCGCAGCCCACGTGTCTGCAAATATGATCCCTGCGAAAGAGGCTAGCTTGGCATGCTAACCATCTTCGGAGGCTGTTTGTAGTGCAGCGTGAACAGTCCATGCATGAGCTGGGGACTTCAGTTGCCAGGTGGGTGTGTTCCAGCTCAAGGCACATCAAGCACACCTGGTGTGGATCCTTGCTCTGAATTTTGCTCCTGCAACAACGAGCCCTTGAGTCGCCACTTCCTCTAGTGTGAGGGGAACCAGAATCCAATTTGGTCACTGGGTTGCAAACAGAAAATGGCCAACAGGTGTATAAGCTGAGAATGGAAAACTGTATTAGCTGGTGTGCTAAGACAGCAATAACTCACAAAGGTGAAAGGTGCTGCAGATTATGGTGAAGACTGAAACTGCAGCAGCTAGTGCCGGAAGTGATTTGATTCTTGATTTTATATGTACAGCACTTTGTTGCAGCTATGGTTGTTTTAAAAGGCTTTATAAATAAAGTAGTAGTAGTGCCCGTCAACGGAGAGTTAGCCCAATTAGCTTTGTTTTATGGACAGTTGGCTCGCCTGCTAAAAACAAATTGAGCGATGCATGGCTGTTTTACTGTTACTATACTGTTTTTTTTTTTGTTTTTTTTGTGGTTAAGTTTCCTTTTAATTGTCATTTTGTTTTAAATTGTAAAAAAAAATGTATGCATCATTTGTGAATGTCTATTATCATTGTTGTCCACTGTTGTCATCACTCTGTTAATATTCAGATCTCTTGTAAAACAGTCCTCGTGGCTCAGTGGGACTAACCTGTTTAAATAAAAGTTGAATGAATGCCTCTTTTTGAAATCATGCTATGTTGTACCTTATCCCCAAAATGCCTCCCGGGCGCTTTCAATAGCTGCCCACTGCACCACCTGGTGGTGGATGGGTTAAATGCAGAGACTAATTTCGCCATTGTATGGAAACATACAGTGCTGACATTGTGATGACATTATTATTATTATTATTATTATTATTATTGTTGCACAAGCTACTTGAAGGGTAGGTGACGCAGGTGTCACAATCACCTGCCGGTCATGATCGGTGTAATAAAATGAGTGCTTCTGAGGAATATGCAGGGGAGTATCCCACAGTGAGACATCACAACAAATGCTATGAATGAGAGCTACTTATTTGTATTTCTGTAGCCTAGTTCATTTTTATAGTACCACACTTTTATTTGTGTTTTCAGGTGAACTGGGTCCAGTGTGATGGCAGCTGTAATCAGTGGTTCCACCAGGTTTGTGTTGGACTGTCAGCAGAGCGAGCAGAGAAAGAGGACTATGTTTGCATAAGCTGCACACAGCCAGACTACGACAGAGGAGAATGAAGACCAAAAAGAGAGATGGAAGGATGAGCAGTCTGTTTTTTTTTTTTTGTTTTTGTTTTTTTTTAAACAAGCTGCAGCACTTCAACGCACACCTGAACTCTTGTGTGTGCTGTGGCTCCTTTTTTACCCTCTGGCTTGCCCTCAGTGAACATGGTGCTATTTCCTTGTTTCCCTTAGCGTTACTAAAGACTTCTGTTACTGTTTTTGTCACTCAATGTTTTGTTTTTTTTCAGCTAAACAACTAATCCTTTATGAAACTTTCCAAGACTGGATGTGGATGTGGTTCAAGAAAAACCCAACGGCGCAGGGATTTTTTAACCAAAAAATGTCAGTTTGACATTTCTTAGCTGGTTTTCTTCGACATGCATCTGAACAATGTGAAACTTACCTTTCCTTTTCTCTTGTAGAGTAAATATTATTTATCTGAGCAATAGCTAAACGGATTAATTCAGGTTATGTTCTCACCTGAGCTGTATTTGTGTGTAGAAATACTTTGATAAGATGCCTTCCTGAAGCAAAATCCCTGAAGAACTCACCTCTTGAATCCTGTAATATTACACAGTACAGTTCAAATTTGCGTGCTCCTCAAAACAAATGGCTCCGTGGTCCTACAAGTGCAAAGGGTTGCACCTGATTCTTCGCCCTTACTCCTTAACAATTCACTGGCTTTGATATGAAGTTACACTTCCTGTTTTGCGCTGTCTGCAGAGGAAAATGAAAGTTCTGGATACACTAGGTTACATTCACAAAATTATAACGAAATGCCCGACATCAAAGGAATGTACATGTACGGTAGTTTTTGGGTGAATTTTCTCTATATGGTTGAGGTTGAAAATATTGTGTTGGACTTAGATTTAACACGGACTGTGTGATTTATTTGCCACGGGTATATGACCTTTTTCTTGCTCCTTTGGATAAATAATATAATTCATATGTTGCAGTTTGCATTATTAAATAAAATGTTTGTTCCCATAAACTTGGACTTTTTAATCCCTTTAAATCATGCTGATTTGTACATTTTTTTCCCACTGTGTAGCAGGTTTGGTGTTTGGTTTTTTTTTTTGTTTGTTTTTTTGGATTAAACTAGCTGAAACTGAGTTTTGCTTTTTTCTATAAATGACAGCTCATTAAAATAAACATTTCATCAAATGTATGTTAGATGATAAATGTTATACGAGAAACCATCTCATTCTAACACATATTTTGAAAAATGACCTACTTTGTTTTAAAAAGGAAAAAAAAAAGATTGTAGTTTACAAGTGTCCATATTTAGTATTTTTAAAAGGTAATTTGGAGACGGAGCATGCTTTTGTTATTTCAGAGTATCACTAAATGTTTGTGAAAGTAGTTTTCATAAGAGGAAATGTACGAGGAACTCTGAATATAAAAAGTTACTAATGCTCACGTTGGATGAAATCTGAAAGAATTGATGATGTCAGAAAAGGTCGACCAACAGATTTCACTCCCATGAACAATGTAACAATGTTTTTCATCTTTAAATCAAACAAAAAGATTAATCACAATCCCAACCTGGAATAATGGCAGTCGACACTGAAATCAATACCTCACATTTGTTTACTACATGCAATCTTAAACTTGGAGAAAATTGTCCCAAATGTACTATTTATCATCAGTTCTTAAGCTTTTAAAAGCTGTAAGGAAATTTGATGAAAATGTGAGCAGAAATATAGAAAAGCTATAATATTTAGATTTCAAGCACTATTGAATAATATTTATTGTGTTTATATTAAAACTACTTTATAAAACTATATAAAATATGCTAATGATATGCGTATAAATTACTGTAGTACAGTACATAAATCAATGTTCTGTCGACATTTTGTTTCTGTGAGGAACAAACTACATTCTGAGCAGCATCACCATCTTCTTTTATAGATGTTATGACATTTTATCTACAGGTAGAACTTTATCTGCTTACATTCAAGCTTACAAATATTTGGCCAAATTATTTTTTTTATATTTGTAGCGTCTTGGCTTAAAACAAATGCCCTCTTGGTTGTCTAATCCTATCAGCCTGACAGTCTGTACTCAGGGATAAAAGTGACCGAAGTCTTTTCGTGACGTCACGCCATTTTCCTCTTGTTGTTAGCTTGCTAGCTCAACAGGCTAGTCTTCCAAGCACTGAACCTGCTTGTATAAAACAAGAATCTGTAATATTTTTAACTTACAGCTGCGTTATTGCAGCTACTAAAGCGTTTAATTTCTTTCCATAGTCATGGACGAGGAGTATTTCGGAGGTGCAGGCGACTGGGAAGGCCCGGAGGGGAACCTGGTGAGAACGGAACTTGTTAACGTTAGCAGTCAAGTTAGCATTAGCTTAGCTGTATCGACAAAGCTAACTAACATAAATTTATTTGTCACCACTAGCCAACAATTTGTGCTAATTACACAATGTAAGAATGTTTATTTGTTTAACTTTGCGTGCCATTAATTACACGCAAACTCATTCAGACGTCAACTGAAGCCGGGATTTATTGAATTTGTTGTTAATGTTATGACTCAGAACCGTTCTCATGATAAGTTATCTAGCAGTTAGTCTCTATAACAAAAGTATTTTTGAATCTTTCAGGAGGATGGTTTCGATGATGGAGAAAATGATGGAAAAGTCCAGGAGGACTGTCTTCAGAAGTTCTCCAGCAGGGATTACATCATGGAGCCTGCGATATTCAACACACTCAAAAGGTAATTGGTTGTCTTAAAATACACAAAGTTTCTGACTGACACAGTGCTTTAAATGCTTAAAGTAAGTGGTTTAAAGTCACGTTGTTGTTGCAGGTATTTCCAGGCAGGTGGCTCTCCTGAACATGTCATCCAGCTGCTCTCTGAAAACTACTCTGCTGTGGCTCAGACCGTTAATCTGCTGGCTGAGTGGCTCATCCAGATGGGTAAGTGGTGGACATTTAGTTTTATATATTTCAATTCTGAACACATTCATCTTATCTGGTCTATTGTGTGCTGCTGTTGTATTGTTGATCTGTTACTAATCTATAATTTGTGGTATATTTTCAGGTGTAGAACCTGCTCAGGTCCAAGAGCGAGTAGAAAATCACCTCAAGAGTCTCCTCATAAAGCACTTTGACCCCCAAAAGGCAGATTCTATCTTTACTGTCGAGGGAGAGGTGAGATTTCTGAACACGCATAACAAATATAAGTAATCTTAAATATTAAATGTGTTGTGGAAAACAATAGGAGACACGCTGTGTGTAAATTGTTGTGTCTGTAGACTCCTGCTTGGCTGGAACAGATGATAGCACACACAACATGGAGAGATCTTTTCTATAAGTTGGCAGAGGCGCACCCCGACTGTCTGATGCTCAACTTCACTGTAAAGGTGTAGTACGAGTGGTAGCAACACTCTAAAGCTGTTGGAGAGTTGTGCTTTCCCATTGTCCTGAAGTGAATGATAATGAAATTTACACTGTTACATCACTTTACAGTCATTTTTATTGAAGCCACAAATATTTTTCTCTTTGATTCTTGTGAGTTAAACTTTTTAGAGGTTTCTTTTGAAAGAAAGAATAATAATAATTTCAGTTTTAACTCCTTAGTTGATTGACTAGTCGGCCTGGACCCTTTATGCTCGTTTTTTTTGTGTTTATTCAGCTTATTTCTGACGCGGGTTACCAAGGAGAGATCACCAGTGTTTCTACAGCGTGCCAGCAGCTCGAGGTTTTCTCCCGGGTGCTGAGGACATCTTTAGCCACGCTACTTGATGGAGGAGAGGAAAACTTGGAGAAGAATTTACCAGAGTTTGCTGTAAGGCTAACTTGTCCTCTTTCTTTTAATCATAGAAGTGTTTCTGTTTTAATGTACAGGTGAAAAATAATCAGCAGCATAGTTGCTAGGATCCTTACCACTTTGGCCAAAGATATTAGGCTTTTAAGATGCTTGATCAAGTCTTTACTTTTTTTCTATCTTTGCTTATAACACACAAACGGAGCAGAGAACATGAAAGAAACAACACTAAATGCCAGTACAACACTGTACTTTTACCCCAATAGAAAAAAAAGTGTACAGTGTGTAATAAAAATGAAATTACTTTTTGTTTTAGAAAATTTTCAGAAAGTAGCTCCTTCATTATGAGGTTTTATTCACAAGTTAATGAATGTTTGGGTTTATTTTTGCAATTTAAATGTGTTTTTTTTTTATGATAAAAAGTATTTTAATATGATTTCATTTTATTAGATAATCTTTAAATCAATTTTAGTGTATCCTTGTATGATGCTGTTTCTTTATCCCATATTCTTCATATACAGTTGTTTTGTAGTTAATTTGGTACTCGCCATCCAAAACCAGTCATTTTTAAATACTTTTTATTATACTAACTGTTTTGTTTTTTTTTTAACTCTGGAAAAATATCAAATTAAGTTATAAGTAACCTCCCCTGTCATTTTGTCTCCTCTCTTTTAGAAAATGGTGTGTCACGGTGAACACACTTACCTCTTCGCCCAGGCAATGATGTCTATCCTTGCTCAGGAGGAGCAGGGGGGGTCAGCTGTTCGTAGGATCAGCCAGGAGGTGCAAAAGTCTGCACACGAGAGGTAACTTTGCCTTGTTGCCATCAAGTGTATATTAGATCGACTGGGGGTTTGTTTCTGTAGGTTCAGCTGTTGAAATGGGTGTAATTGTAAAAGACTGTGGTGGCAAACTTAAAGTGGAGTTATATGAATGTTCTTGAAAATAATAAAAGCAGATTTTCAAAGTTTCCCCAAAACGATGCTGCCTGGACTGTTGAAACCTCAGGCTCTGTTATTTGTCTAATGAAGCTGAGGAGGTTTAGTTGAAATGACTCTGTGCACTTTGGTTTATCTCACAGGGGTCACGACGCCAGTCAGATAACTCTAGCGCTCGGTACGGCAGCAGCCTACCCTCGAGCCTGCCAGGCGCTGGGAGCCATGTTGTCTAAAGGAGCCCTGAATCCTGCTGATATCACCGTCCTCTTCAAGATGTTCAGCAGCATGGACCCTCCGCCTGTAGAGCTGGTGAGAGGAAACTGGCATTGCATCTATATTCTCTGTTAGTTGAAAAGTGTTATTTTAATAGAAACACGTGTTTCTTGTCTTTAGATCAGAGTGCCCGCCTTTCTAGACCTGTTTATGCAGTCACTTTTTAAACCTGGATCAAAAATTAACCAGGACCATAAGCACAAATACATTCACATCTTGGCCTACGCTGCCAGTGTGGTCGAGACATGGAAGAAGGTACGTTCTGTAGAAAGTAACTGCCACCACAGTAACAGATTTATTGTTGGTGTTGTTTGAGGTTGAGATTCAGATACTCGTGGAAATGTGCAGAATTAAATTTTGTATGTGTTTTTTCTTCTTGTTCTGCTGTCCTAACATTTTTACCTTCCGTCATCACACCAGAACAAACGAGTCAACATCAATAAAGATGAGCTGAAGTCAACTTCCAAAGCCATAGAGACCGTGCACAACTTGTGCTGCAACGAGAACAAAGGAGCTACAGAGCTGGTGGCTGAACTGGGCACGTTGTACCAGTGCATCAGGTGAGTCGATGGTTACAGTGTCTCTCAAATGTACAGTTTAGAGTTTTACTCATCGCTCAGTATGAAATCAAACATAAAACAATTATCCTGAACTGTATTGTGCAGTTTGAAAGGGTAGATTTCCAGGTTTGTTGATATGTGGGTCTGCACTCAGTGTAAACAAATGACTCGGCTGAACCTGCTGAAAACCACATGGAAGCTCGAGTCCCATGACTGACTTCCTTTAAGCTGTCTGTAGTCTGAGTAAGTCAACAAACATGTCAAAAGTGGAACCTTCGGCCTGTTTTCAGTCACTTCGGCTGTTTCTGTAGGTTGAACAAACACATGTCGTAACTGGCCTCTGGTCACAAAGTTTGCTCACAAATTTTTGATTTAAGGACATTAACCGTTAATATGAGAGAAAATGTGCACATTTTGTTTCTTTATAATTCACAGAAGAGTTAAATCATCTGGACAAGTTTCTTTTTACCCTTTTTTGTGGTTTATCTACCCGGATGATTGAGCGGTCAAACCTTTTTCTTATTTTCATCTGATCTTCATGACATTGAAAAGGGTACCTTTAAAAATTGTTTTGGCTTGTTGCTTTGTAGATAAAAATATAATATTAACACATCAAGTAGATGTGTGTGTTTACAGAAGGATGATGAGAAGATACTTGAGCTAAGTTTCAATGCCCCAAATGAATGTTTTTTTTTAGAAAAGTCGCCAGTTAAGACTTAAATTCTTCCCTTTCTTCTTTTCTGGCAGCACATTGTTGTGGAAAGATTTGATTAGAATGTTTAGCTGTTAAACTGAAGGCAGTTTGTGGAAGTGAGGGAAGTACAACTTGAAATGTGGTTACATTTATACATTATCTGAAACATGGAACCGTCTTTAGCAACCTCGTCTTTTACTCGGAACTCCAGATGTTTTTAAGTTTTACACAAGAACCTCTTCACTGATTTCAGTCTGCTGACTTATGTGTGTTCAGATTCCCAGTGGTTGCTATGGGAGTTTTAAAGTGGGTGGACTGGACCGTGTCAGAACCGCGCTACTTCCAGCTCCAGACAGACCACACTCCTGTTCATTTAGCCCTACTGGATGAGGTATAACAGCATTAGCAGATGAAAAGGTGATTTTAAAGAGTTATATCAGACATTTAAAGATGAAACTCTCCACACAGATCTGTACGTGTCACCAGCTGCTGCACCCGCAGGTCCTCCAGCTTCTCATTAAGCTCTTTGAGACGGAGCACTCTCAGCTGGACGTCATGGAGCAGGTGGGGATCTGTGGTGCTGTTGTACGCCATCACGTCTAATATTTCACGTCTCGGCTGAAGTCTTGTGACTTTTGTTCCATCTCCAGCTGGAGCTGAAGAAGACTCTGCTGGACCGAATGGTTCATCTTCTGAGCCGTGGCTACGTCCTGCCCGTCGTCGGCTACATCCGCAAGTGTCTGGAGAAACTCAACACAGATATCTCCCTCATCAGATATTTTGTCACCGAGGTAATAGATGCTGTTCTTTGTTTACATTTAGATACTAAAGATAATCCTTCTTGCTCCGACTCAAACAGTTATGAATACGGGTCAGTTTTATGACCTGTATCAAAAACGTCTTAGAGCGTTTTTAAACAAAAGTTCAGAGTTTTCCTCTTTAAGGTGTTGGATGTGATCGCTCCTCCCTACACGTCGGACTTCGTTCAACTCTTCTTGCCCATCCTGGAGAACGAAAGCATCGCAGGAACGATCCGCACAGAGGGAGAACACGACCCTGTAGCAGAGTTCATCGGTGAGTAAAATCTATCCAGTGAGACGTGCAGGAGAGTCTGGACTGGCCAAATTAATTTGCAGTTTACTCAAACACAAAGAACAGTAATGGTTGTGTTTAAGCCAAGATGTTTTTGTTTTTCAGCTCATTGCAAGTCAAACTTCATCATGATTAACTGACAGAGAGGTTTTGTTGAGGAACAAAGAAAGAAACAGGATCTGTGATAATCAGCTTCATTTTGTCGTTTAAACAAACTGACGGACTTTTTGTTGGAGACGTCTCGGCTGCATTTTTTGGACCAAACAGGACGGATAAAAGCAGATGAATGGATGAAGATGCAGCTAAACTTCATTTTTACTTGTAGATTTGATTTTCTATATTTTATCTTGATTTATGGTTTTTATAAATAAAACCGTAATGTGTACTTTAGGTTGGTGTTTTTTTTGTAAATAAATGTGAATTTACCCCCCAAAAAAATCTTGAATGCTTAATTGTTGCTGGATAAAAATACACAACTAGTATAAAAAATATATATATTAATTTTGGTACCATCTGTAGCTTCCTTTAAAGTCAAGTTTATTTATAGAGCACATTTAAAACAGAACCTGTTATCAAAGTGCTTAACAACAGCAACAATCAATGAGTAAATTAACGAGAAAAATATATAAACATATATATACAATACACTAATAATAATAACTGAAGAATTAATGAAAAGCATTTAAAACATAGGGTCACAGATTAAAAAACACTAAATCAATTTACACTGTGTGAAAAGCCTGCGAGAACAGATGTGTTTTCAGCAGGATTTGAAGTGAGGAAGGGAGGTGTCCTGCCTGATGTTGGGGGGCAGGATGAAGGGAGGTGTCCTGCCTGATGTTGGGGGGCAGGATGAAGGGAGGTGTCCTGCCTGATGTTGGGGGGCA